TTGGAGCTTGCATCGGTGCCGGTACCTACCTACCCCGGAATAACTGAGCCTCACTCCCAGACGTCCAGAATTCCCCTCTTTGGATACAAAAAGGGGAGGGGGGGAACCGCCCCGGGTAAAAAAAACCCGGCTTTCAGCCCTCCGCTGCGACAAAAAAAACAATACAACAGGCCTTATCGGGAGGGGTTTCTTCGACGTCCTAGCGTAAGGCTCAATTATTCCAGCACAGTATGGTACTCGAGTACCGGTACTTGTACTTGCGGTAAATTATCCACCCCGCCCCACCCGTTCGTCTCCCACCGGTCCTTTGCCAGAAACCTGGATGGAATGAGGTGTGAATTGGAGGCGGTAAGGTAACGTTGCACCAGTCGCGCCTAACTTAACCGTTGTCGTCGAGTAGCGAGTCCTCGGTTATTGCGCCAGGGATGAATGGGGGTCTGGGGTCGCGTTTTTTTTCCTTTTTTCCTTTCCTTTTTTCTGCTTTTTCTTTTTTCTTTTTTTTTTTCTTGTTCCTCCACCCGTTCTGGAGTACAGTACCGTATCATTGTTGTGGCACTCGAGGATGAAAGAAAGTGCGCGGGAGGGAGGCAGCCTGCCAGGACGCATCTAACTAAGATAGGATATGATATGCTACTGGTATGATGCGACGTGATACTCGTACGTTCAGTCTTTTCGTGTATATATTTCTTCTTTTGTCGAGGATGAAAATGGACAGGGGTTCAACGAACAGGGGGGGTTCAGCGAACAATACAAGTACGAGTACACTCAAACCCCGCTGTCCCGGATCTCTATAATACGGATACCTCGCTGTCCCGTATGAAACGTTGTGAATTCCAAAAATTTCCACAGCAAAACTTGACTCATTGCTCCGGATAACCCGCTGTACCGGACAGATTCTTTAGATTTTGGCCGTCCGGGATAACGGGGTGTGAGTGTACACTAGAAAGGTCTTGGCGAACGGTGGTTTCGTTTCGTCTGTTCGTTGACCCCCCCCGCCTACGTTATTTAAGAGAGAGCATGGTAACACAATTCGCCCCAATCCGTAAATTACCGTACCTTCATCGCTCCCCACTCCGGTGACATAGATTTACAACAAGTCAAACCGCCCAACTGACGGATCAGGTAACACCCGCAGTTACCATTCGCAGTTGATGCAATGAATTGTATGGGAGTTAGTCCTGAGATCGTCATAAGGCGCCGCCGATCATCTCCAATGATGTTTGCTCTCGACGAATACCGGTAAACAGATTAATACCCAGTACGGTACTGTGCTCGTACCTGTACTCCACCGCCGTCAGCCAGCAGGCTTGACGCACCCAGTTCCCGTACCGTTCGGTTCGGTTCGGTAATGCGCAGATGAATTGCCCGGTTGGGCTCCGCTGTCCCTCAACCCGTGGTCTCGTACTCCCCCTCTGATATGGTCCCGCACTGAAACAGGAAACCGCTCGTCCGACCATATCGGTCCGTGACAGCGTACGGTAGTCCATCTCTTTCTTTCGTATAATGAATGGATGGACGGATTCGCCGCGAGCAATGGCCTGCCCAAATTGGCCTCGGCTATGTAAGATATCTGGCTCTGAGAGTGTGGCGGTCCGAGGGTCTCCATCTCCTTGCCCTCCGGTTGGCCAGGCTACTCAGTGCTCCAACCACATCACACGAAAATATGCGGGCAAGTGCAAGTTAAGCTAACGGCCACAGGCACCTCATTTTTCATTTTTCCCCTTCTTTTCTTTTTTGTACTTCAGCGAGTGTGGTATCATACTCCTATTTGTACGGTACCTGTACTCGAGTACCGTGCCAATTGCGTGAATGTGTCATAACTTGGCTTGTGCGAGCACTGTTGCCGTCTTGGCGACAAAAGAAACGAACACAAACAATGAACATGAACATTGAACTTGAAGACAACAATCATGCTGTACAAGTACCGGTACTCGTACTTGTACAGTGAACCTAACAGGATAGGGGGTCCTGGAACGCACCGGGACACCTCAACCGGCGTGCGGCGTGATATACTCGAGTATGAAGAGGTACCGTATCATAGTTCCAATTGTTTCAGGGGGTGGGTATCGGTATCATGGGAGCTGATGATCTCCGGGGGGAAGGGATGGGGGCCAATTTCTTTTGTCGCCAAGCTCGTACCGATCTGTCCACGTTTCGCAAAGATCATGCATCGATGCCTGCCTGTCTGCCCAACAGCTCCCTTGGGTCCGATTCAGCCTAGTACAAGTTGGCTTGTCAAGTAATGAATCAGGACAGGAGCTGATGTCTTACTTTACAAGGTGCAGTGTCCTTTTTTTCTTTTTCTTTTTCCTCTCTTGTGGTACTAGGCCAGTCGCGCATGTGGCGGAGCTCTCTCTCTCTCTCTCTCTTCGTTTTTTTTTTTTTTTTCGTGGGGGGGGGAGGGTTTACTTAGATCAGATGGGTTCGGATCACTGGGCGATCTGGTTGTGATAACTGGTGGGAGCGCATCCGGTCCTTGCTCGGGCATGGATGTAGGGTGATCGGACACTCAGGTGTTCTAGAGGTTTGACCTTACATTTCTCGTAGGGAGCGAGGGAATGAGTGTTGATACGGATGTTGCTCGAACAAGCAAGAGAGTTTTGACACCTCCCCCCTCGAGTGTCCTGGACTTCCGATCTCCTGGGCTCACACCCCAGCACCCACGGCATCCGGCCCTGAGCAAGTGGGTGGGTGTGAGGGTTTCATTCAGATTGCATAATTTGATGCTCTGTTATTCTTCGCTACTTATATCCTAATTGTGCCGTAGTCCGGTGGAAGGTCCTTGATACCCGATGTCTAACGAGCACATAGCAAGCACCTCGGTCTCAGAAGACCGGCCACCAAAAGGGGTGCATGTATCGACACCGTATCCCACATGTAGTATATTTTCCACAACGCTCACCGGCTTCATTAGCTCATCCAAGGCGGGGAATCGGATATGCCGGGAGCGCAGAAAAAATCACGGAATACCGGTATAACTTTTCCCCCACACATGGCCGATCGGAGCGAGAGCCCCCCGAGAGGCCGACACTGTATCACCCTCTGACCCAAAGTATGAGAGACGAGGATAGAGCCCCTGCTGTGCGATACGACGCATCCCGCAGCCCCCTCGATGGAGCAAGTCGGAGGGAAATTTTCTGAGGGGTGTGGGTGGATGCGGGTGCCGTCGTGACTCGAATAAGCGGACCATGTGCTGTGAAGTTGGGAATGCCCTACTTCGAAGAAGGGGGAGGGTGAGCACAGCAAAAGGTGAACCGCTCAGCCCCTCCCTCCTCTGGGGGATGTAAAAACCGGGCTCTGCGCCAAAGACTCAACATTCGGCCCGCTCATTTGAGCCTCCACAGTCGGCGCCCCATGGTTCAATCACTTCGTATCACTCGTGGATTGCAGACGCATCGATCGGCAAGGTTTCCAGAAGGCTAGGTTACATGGTATGTCGCCGGCAATGCTGGAGATAGAATGTACTCGTACTGAGTACGGCGCCCCATGGCGATTACTGCTACAAGAGGCTAGTGTGTGCAAAGACAACCTGGCGGTCAATGAACGAAAGTGCCAAAGCTTAATGGTGGAATGCTCCGAAAGTGAGCGCCTGGGCGCTCCCATACTCGTGGTTGGACGGCGTTTGTGCGGATCCCCTTGGTCCGTCGTGCGCTGCATCCAACAGGACTCGTTCGGGAGAAATGGTGAGATCCGGGAAGTGTCCTCCCTTAATCGGGAATAAATTGCCACGCTGGGGCTTCAAATTGAGACCTTTCAGCTACTCGTACCATTTCCCACCGCTTCCATTGATCCCTCGGACGCGGTGACGGACTATCGGATAATTTGGTTAAACCGGAAATAATGCTACAAGTAGAACGACCAAATAAGGTTCTGATGAATAGGCGAGCGAGATTTGCGAGAGATTTGCCCTGAGGCTGGATTTTGGCAATGATTTGCCCCGTGGTGCGGTTTCCATCGAAACGAGATTATTAATAATAATAATATTTTCGAGGGAAAGAGTTTCCTGACGAGGTTTACTGGTACGGTATCATACCGGTATGATACCGTACTCTCTCACTCGCTTATTAAGCCACACTTTATTTGATCGCGGTACAGCAGCGGTATGAACACCCGTCGCGTCGTCGAGGGAAAAAGAAATGGGTATCATAGGATGGAAAAAGCTGAAGGACTGACAAATCGACGGGCTCTGGGAAAACTGTGATAAGGGTCAAGACAGTTTTTTTATTTTTTTATTTTTTTGATCTTTTATTTTTTTCCCTTCTCTCAGAAAAGTCGTTCGATTCCAAGCTGACTCAAGTTCGTAAGTATCATAACACGAGCAACCTCCAGCGGCCCGCTTCAACGGGAGGGAAGGGTGGTGGCGGTGATGGTGGATGGCATAGGACACGTGCGTGTGTGGCCCCGTGTCCTCCATTTCGGGAAAGGCCGAAGCGAGGAGCGGAGCCTCACTCGAGGTTAGAATAAACTTTGCGCCCAGCAACCCGAACCACGTTGTCGGGTTCCCCCGCAACCCGTCTGAGGGTTCCAACCAAAAAAGCCTTCAGTCAGCCACACACACAACCAACCAACAACCCTTCGCTTTTTCCCACCATCAGGAGCTAATTTTTCGGTTTTTTTCTTTTCTTCTTCCGGTTTTTTCCCTTCCACCAGTTCCCCCGCCCCCCCCAGCAACCCTCCCCGGGCATCAAGCTCTTCACGTAATACCGGTAGTCTTGAGACGCACCGAGGCAGCTGTCGATCACTGTGAAGTCCGGGTAGTTGGTTGGAGGATTATTGCTTTTTTGGATTTCTCGGAAAAAAATATTGCGGTTGGTCCAAGGCTCGTTTTTTCCCTTACGAACCCTGTCCGGTGATGTGGCGGTAATGATGGCGCATCAGAATTGTCTTCGCGGGCTGAGCATAAGGAAATTAGCTGCTTTGCCAAGACACTCGTGTTGTCCAGAGAGGTTGACAACCTGAAGCGGACGAACTGACCACAACAACATTCCCCGTAGAGATCCGCGCTCCGCAAATCCAATCATTACTCTTCCCATTCGTCCAATGCCGCCCAAAAGACGCGCTCGCGAAGAGGCTGCAGCGGCTGTAGATTCAGGCGAGGGGAGGCAGCAGCCATCCTTCAAGCGCACGCTCCGCACGCGTCCTGCACCGGCTGCCACTATTGCCGGTACGGCGACTGGGCCAGTCCCGTCCGAGCCTCATCAGCAGGAGGAGAAGGAAGTAGGAAATCTCGAAGCTCCTGTCCCCAAATCGAAAGAGGGACCCCAGACCGCGGGCGTCACAGCTTCAACCATCATTGATGGAAACGACCAACCCTTCCGCTCCTATTGGCTAATGAAAGCCGAGCCAGAGAGCAGAATCGAGAAGGGAAAGGACGTCAAGTTTTCCATTGACGATCTCAGGGCATGTGAGAAGCCTGCGGCCTGGGATGGCGGTGTGTGACCACGTTTGAATCTTGATGGGGGGTGGGATGAATAGCAAGGGCGCTGTGGGATTTTTGCTAACCAATCAATTAACTGCACCATGCGACGAATAGTCAGGAATTATGGTGCCCGTAACAACCTAAAATCCATGAAAAGGGGGGATTTAGCATTCTTTTACCACAGGTTTGTGCGCTCCCGAGTTTTTGCCATCCTAAAATGGGGAACAGCAACAAAAAAAGACTTTTGTGTTTTTTTTCCTCCCCCGCCCCCCAAAGGATACATGGATTGTTTCCAAAAACGGGAAAGAAGTCTTGGTTCGCAGGGGCTAAAATGTTTTATTATCCCAGCAACTGCAGAGAACCGGGAATCGTAGGAATCATGGAGATAGTGCAAGAAGCCACCGTGGACGGTAAGCCTTCCCTCCTCCTCCCTCTCGTCTCTTCCCCACTCCACACTCTGCACTACCGATACCGGTATCATGCGCAACCCAACTTCCCTGCGAGCCCCCTCCCTCCTCCCCTTATCAAATTTCCCCGCAAACGTGATCTCCACCATGCCCTCCCCCCCCTCCCGTCAGATCTTCCATCCATCCACCCCCCTCTCTCCCCAACCAATCCAACCAACCACAGCCCCCGATTCCTTGCCTCTGCTTCCCCCCCCCCGATTATTCATACGATGCTGGTACGCTACGCTCAGCTATAATCTCGTACGATACGTTTTTTCTCTCTTTTCTTTCCTTTTTTTTTTCTTTTTAAAAAATAATCTTTTGGTCCTGCCACCCGCACACATCTTAACCTGTTTAGCAGAAACCGCGTTCAGCCCTGAAGAGCCCTATTACGATCCGAAATCTTCAAGGGATAATCCGAAGTGGTTCCTGGTGCACGTAGAATTTCGCCGGAGACTGGAGAGGTTGGTAGGGTTGGCGGAGCTGAAGAGGTACGCGAGTAAGGAGCTTTCGGCCCTCCCGTTGCTGAGGATGGGGAGGTTGAGTGTTTCTGCAGTGCCTGTGCAATGTTGGGAATTTATCCTTTCCCTGGAGAAGGTGGAGGAGAGGAGTTGAGCTTGAGGGGAGCTTGCCCCGCAATATCGTTGCTTACTTGGCCTTGCTCTGATTTCTGTCTAGTCGTGTTGGTGCTTTGTGGTCTACGTCTCAATAACCCGTTTCTCTCTTTCCTCGTCTCCATCCCAACCCGCTCGTGGACACCGGAGGGGCATGCTCGTAATGCTAACATTCTCCCCTCCACCCCCCATATGCTTTTTTTTTATCTTATTTTATTTTAATCTTCGCCCTTGCCTAGCCCGCATCCTGATTCCTCCTCCTCATCGGCTCGACTCACTCTCACTCACTCACTCTATCTCTCTTTCTTTCCCCACTGCAGCGTAGCATTCCTCGCACACACACACACGCGCACACACACACACTCATCCATGCATGAAATACCTGCCTGCCTACACACATACATACATACACTCATATCATATCATATCATACAGAAGCCCTCCAAACCAATACAATCCACCCTCGTGAACGCCCACTATCATACGCAATAGCCAAGTACCGAAGTGACCAAAACTCCCTTCCACCCAATATACCCCTACCTGTCATGCCAACCCTCCCTTCCAAGCACACAACCAGTCGCAGCCGTCCCCCCCCTAAACCCAGACGGCACGGACAAAAAGCCTACCCATACACCCCCATCGACCCATCACCACTCAATCAGGTAGCAAGTTTCTGAGAAAAAAAAGCCTAAAAAAAAAGTAAACAACAATAGACCCATTACTATCCTCCGCTCTGGTTGGTGAGCTCCAGTCCTTTCTTCGAGGACGCCGTATACCGGTATCGTAGGACAGTATGCAAGGTTGTACTCGCAAGAAAGGGAAAAAAAAAAGAAAAAGAAAAAGAAAAGAAAAGAAAAAACGGCTGGGTAGCCGCATGAGTCTTTGGTCACGGGAAAAGTGGGTGGGGTTGGAGCGGGGAAGGGAGGAGAGAGGGAGGAATGGAATGGAAGGAGGATTCTAAGTTTTGCCTTGATGGACCCGTATTTACCACGCTTGCCTGTCTGTCTTACTCGTGGGTCGGGGTCTGTATGATAAACGTGGTGGGAGGGTTTGGTCCGTCAATGGGAGGGAGAAAGGAGATGACGAAAAGATGTTTGAGCAACATACCACACTGTAGTAGATTGGTGGTGGTGGTGGTGGTTACATTGGATATGGGTGGCATAAGCGGACCGAGCCCGACACACACACGATGGTGAGGCAGTTTTTCTTTTATTTGTTTATTGCGATTATTTTTTTTGGCCGATAGATGTCATAGATAGATGGGCAGATAGGTGGATAGAGAGAGAGAGAGAGATACAGATAATTTATTACAGGTGGCAGGCACAGCCAGGACATTTGCCTTGAGGATTGTAGAGGGGGGTTGTTGTATGAATATAATGGGGTGGGCAAAAAAAACAAAACAAAACAAAACAAAAAGAGACAGCCACGGTGGGTAGAGTGAGAGAGTGTGCAGAGAATCGAGTTGGTTTCGGTTGAAAAGGGAAAAAAATTACCGCATATACTGTACGGTTGGTATAAAAATATAAAAAAAAAGTGCATACAAACACCTCCCAGATGTCGCCCCCATCCCTTCCCACCTCCCAAAGGAAAAATAAAAATAAAGAGGCCCGGATGATGGAAAAAAGATCGTACGAATGGTACAAATGGAATAAATGACAGGGAAGAAATGAGGCAAAATGAGAACTCTAAAACCAACGCCCCGCAGAACAATAATTTACAATGGAGTCCCCTGGTCAAAAGAAAGCGCGAAAGTATAGGAGGGGAATGTGTGTTGAAAGGCGAAATCAAAATAAGAGACCAACCAACCAACAAGCAATAAGAATGCAAGAGATCAAAAGGGAAAAAAGGAAAGCGCGAACACAGAAACAAAGAACATAGAAAGTACAGCAGGAAACAAGTTAAATAGCAAAATAAAAATGCAAAACCAAAAAACGCACTGTTTGATGTCCCTCTTCTAACTTATGACACAAGGAAATACCGGTAGCGATAAAAAAAAAAACGATAATAGCCGCCCACGAATGACCTCCACGCGCCGGAAAATAGAATATACGAAAATAAAAATAAACCACAAAAGGAAATATCTTCGCTCAGCGATGGCGCTGATCCCCGCCCTGATATCGTTCCCGCTCGTATCTTTCCCTCTCTCGCTCGCTCTCCCGTCTAATGACACTGGCCTCTCTCATGTCCGCTCCACCTGAAATTTCCGGGTGCCCACTTCTGCCCTGAAAGCCGGCAGTCCGTACATCATCCTCAATTCCGGGCAGATCCCTCATGCTCGATCCCGGCCTCGCCAACTCGTTGGTCCTGAAACCACCAAACCCACTTTCGCCCTGTCCAATTCCTCGCGGAGACGCTAAGGACGATTGCCCCCCCGCACGTTGCGACCTGAGGGCTAAATCTCGGTAATAATCCCGTTCCTCCTCCACCTTCTTCAATCGTTGCTCCAAATCGCTTATCCTCGTCGACATTTCCCGCTCTCTCTCCTTCCTCCTTTGGCGGAATCGAGCAGAGGCACCCGCATTTCGCTTCCGCTTCTCATCTGCGCTTCTCGATGCCGCCGTTGTATTCACGGGTATGTGGATGGCCCCCTCGGCTGTATTCAATGACATCATGTGATACCCATGTGCTCCATGTCCCGATGGCCCGGGCATTGAATACGGTCCACCGTGCGGTGGGCCCCCGTGGTGGCCTGAAATGTACCCCGGATGGGTATATGTGGGCGTCGTAGGCACGGGTGATTGCGAGGATTGGACATAGGAGGAATAGGATGTATTAGGGCTGGCGTTTGCCGATGATATGGGGGTGGAGAAACTTGTTGCATATTGTAAAGGGGTGGAAACCGAGGGGAAAGGGAAGCTAGGCTGTGAGGATGGGCCACCGATGGGTGGGTGGGCAGGAGGAGGCGGGCCTGGGGCGGTATGTAATTCGGTGCCAAACCCTGAAAGCCTTCGAGGAGTGGCGAGAGGAAAAGGACTGTCTTGTGCACTTATGATGCCAGATAAACTGGGCCTTGAAGTTTGTCGAATCCGAGATGATGGTGGAACCGCCGGCGCTATTCGACGGCCGGGGAACGTGCTGCCACCGCTACCGGTGCTCCTTAAGGCTACGTCCGCAGGGTTGGATGGCTCAACAGGTGAGGGTGGCAGGGATCTTGGTGCACCATGTCGACTAACGGCTGTGTGAACAGATGATCGTGGGGACCCAAACTGGGCCAAACTGGGCCGTCGAGAACTCCCGATGGATCTCTGAGGTGTAGGATTAAGGATGTTACTGACATCTAGAAGGTTTACTGGCTTCTGGTCTGGGCTTGCAATAGAAGACTGTGCTATAGGCACCTCTATAGCCCGAGAAGCGAATGGAGCCGAAGCTGCAAGGGATGGCACTGAACCGTCAGACGTCTGTGAAGAAAATTGGTATCGGTCGAGCGAAGCTCGGTAGTCTTGGTCGGTGTCATCCGAAGAGGCTGGTGACCTTGAGGCAGAGAAGGTCTGCGACATGGAGCCTTTCCCCCGAAGACTCTGAAGCTGCCCCAAGACAGTACATTGACGGTCTTCCTCTCCCTCCCGACGCCCAACGAGAAAGTCTGGCGACCGTAAGAGAAGAGGAGGATGAACTGAGGTAGCCACTAACGCCAACGTTCCGACTTATACGTAGTCCCGGGGAAACGAGAGAGTACAAAGTGCAGGGAAGTGGTTAATGGAGGGGAGGGGGAGGGAAGGTTAGAAAGAGGGGGGGGGGATGATGGGGTAGAAGGGGGGAAAAAGGTTGGGAGGTTGGTTAGGGTAGAAGAGGGTAGAGGAGGAAGGGCTGGTGGTTACAGTAATGTGGAGGGACGGAAGAGAAATGAGACGGAAGAGGATCCGGAGGGAAGAGGACAAGGGATGTCTGGCAACTGGTCTTTTTTTTTTTTTCCTGTAATCTGGGAGGGATTGGCGATAGCAGGGAAATGACGTTTAAAGAAATTTGAGCAGGCGGTTGGCGGCAAGTAGTCCACTGCAAGGCAAACAATGCCGCATCGACGACCAGGTGGTAGTACCAGGGATGACAAGAAACGGGAAGAGCGAGTGAGCAGGGCAAGAAATGAAAAACAAGCCAGTAGAATGGGTGAGTACTTGTACGGGGGTGTTTTTAGTCTGTTTTATTTCTATTTGATTTTTCTAGGGGGTGGAAGGGAGGTGGGGGACGGTGGTATGAGCGTAGGTGAAGAGAGAGAGGGAGGGAGTGGGTTGAGCGAGTAAGTGAGCGTTGGGTGCGGTCAATGGTCAGTGGTTACCAGAAAAGTGAATGGATATGGGAGCGAGCGAGTGAGTGGCCGAATGACCGAGTGACCAGCCTCAGTGAGTGAATGAATGACTGACCGACCGGCCTCGTTGGTGGTAGTGACCAAAGAAAGGAGAAGGGTAGAAGGGACTGAGGATGTTTCTATGGATATGGTTGTTCGGATAGTGATAATATTAAGAGTAGAGTGCCCAGTGTTTTTAAAATAAAACGAATATCAAATAGTTGATGGCTGTTAATGGTGTGGTAGGTTAAAATGGAGGTGGGTGGGGATTTGAGGATAGCATTGGCAGTTGGGATGGTGTGGAGGTTGTGGTGGTGGCAGAGGCCGGGTTGCAGCGGTTGGGTACCGGTACAGTACGAGTACTGGCTCTCACCAGCATGCACTGCACCGTACTGTGCTCGCACTGTACCGTACTCCGCGCTACCCTACTGCAGGGAAAGGACTGCACGGAGCAAGGCGGATAGAGAGAAAGAGAGGGTCCGGTTAAGAGCGATGGCAGCGAGGAGATATGCACAAATTGGCGTTAGAGAGCCCCCAAATAAGTTGCGAGGTGTGAGATGGCCACAAAATGGAAATGGCTTGCGAACTTGTACTCGGTTCTTGGAATGCTATTGTACTTGTACCGGCCGGTCTCACTCGAGCGAGAGAGGGGAGAGGCGGCTGCGTGTGAGGAGTGTGTCCTTGTAAGTGTCCCGTAACGTGTGCGTGGG